TTAGATTCATTGATCGTTTAATTATGTTTAAATGGAATTAGAGCGAGAGATTTTTTGTTCGAATCCTTTGAGTCGATATTTCCTCCCAATTCATGTGCTTAACAAAATTTTCTAAGTTTATGCATGATCCCTAAGTTTTAGCAAACTAACTCATTATATTAAATGTAGGCTTTATTTCACAAACCCAATTCATGAAATCAAACTATTACATATATATATATATATAGAGGCATGCCTATGTTATATATAAATATACATTTGATATATATATATATATATATATATGCCTTTTTTCTTTCCTATGAAGAGAAATTAAATATATTATTACCTTTAACAGGCATTGCTAGAGGCTATAAGAGTTGCAATCCAAATTTTAGTGACAAAGAAACTAGACCAAATAGGCCCTACACATCAACCAAATTGGAAACCAAATATCTCATTTTATAATGGAAATTCTGCCACCCTTTTCAACTTCAAGTGGGTTCTCATTAGAGAGAGAGTAAAGCCAGAGAGGAAGGCAATATGTGGATTTGAATATTATAATGCAAAAAAAAAACTATCATTTATAGTATGGTCTATATGTTGTGTAGTGGGTGACCCAAACAAATGATCAGATACAGAGAGAGAGAGAGAGAGAGAAAAGGAGGGTTTTGTTTCAAAATTTGAAATCTCTCTCCCAAGTTGAAAAAGAAAGGGAAAAAAAAGAGAGAGATTCAAAGGGTAGGTAGAGGATTCAACTTTATACATCACAGTCATTGTCCACGTGGTAGCTCATCCTTCAACCAATCGTCACCCACCTGTATGTATAGCCAAAATAGTATATTTATTATTATTTAAAAAAATACTTAATTAAGTCTTGATTAATGATATTTATCTCTATACCACAGCTCCAAATTAAAAAAAAAAATTTATCTGCTTTTATAATTTTTTTAGTTATCAAACATTAATAGTTGTGAGCACAAGAATATATCATTACCAACCAGTCATTATTAATAATGGTTTGTAATAGACATGGATTACTCCTCTCATTACCAAAAGTAGCAATGATCTAGAAGGGATATGTTAAGAATTTCACATTGAAAAGAGATGAAACTTAATCATAATTTATAATAGACGTGGGCTACTATTTTTATTGTCAATTAGTTTTGGAATGGAATCCGTATTTCTAGAAAGTTAAAAAAATAAACAGAAAAATGAATATAATTGTATTTGATATGGGAGAATCATGAGATGCACAAAGAAATAAAATTAGCAAAAAATATAAATATAAAAATAAATAAATAAAAGAAGTCAAAGGTAAAGAAGGAGAGAATCTGTGATATGTGCCCAAATTTGAAAGAAGACAAAGGGAAGGCTATTTTACACTAGGAAACAGCTTTTATTCATTAGTTTAATTATCACGATAAAGTTACCTCCATACTTCTCAGCTTTGGAAAACGCCTAAAACTAAAACTATTCAATACGTCGCTATAATCTAATTGTTTCTATTTCCTACAAAAATAATAATTTTTATAATTTGTTATTTTTACTTTTACTTTATTTTTTGAAATAATCATTGAATATAACACAAGGGAGATTCAAATATATATAACTTTTAACTACGGATTTGTTATAACTTTTCAATTATAACTGTAATATGAAATATTTAGAAATATAACTTTTCACTCGTGATAACTTTATCTTATTTAAAATGATTAATTGTTCGATTTTTTTTACAATAATTGTGGGGAAGGGAGGACATCGAACCTCCAACCTTGAACAACGCAGTAAGCTCATGTTGACGACCAAAATGATTAATTGTTTGATTGAAAATAGATTTGTTAAAAATGTTATAATAATAACAATTAATAACCTTGATCAATAACATTCACGCGTCATTATCTTTTTTAATTTTTCATGAACACTGATTAATGATTTTGGAAACTCTTAAAAGAGGAATTAAGAGAGAAAATTAAAAACAATACAAATGTACGTAGGAAATCGAAAACAATACAAATGAAAACAAGAACAAGATTATGTAGATAAATCCCAAAGGGAGGAAAATGGATTGGAAAAAAAAAATCAACCAATCGTTAGTTAATCTGAGTATAACTTGTATTATATTTTTAACAAATAAGTTAAAAACTCGAATTTTTCACTCTCACGTGTAATTGGAAAAAAAATATTGATAAAAGTACAGTGACACGTGGAGGACGTTGAGGAGATAATGGAGGATTGACACGTGTAGAAATTTAAGGTCACCGCCGTGACGATGACGGAGTTAGGGACAGCTTTTTTTAACACGAGATTGGACGACAATTATCAAGGCTTTGACTTCGTGGATTTATGTGTTTCTCTAAATTCCAATTACCCAAGACTCGAACCGTCGTCGTTTCTTAAAATTACTAGTACCAAAAAACACCTTGTTGGGATATTTTATTAACTTCAATTCTTTTTATTAATTATTCAATAGATTTTCTGTCCCTTGCATATTGGAATCAGTAAATAGGGGGGAAATGAGAGGAATAATTATCGAAACTGTAGTTCAAAAATTAAAATTTTATTTGAAAAGTTTACCGTTAAAATTAAATAAAAGCTGTTAGATACTTTTAAATTTTTTTTTTTTTTTTGCGAAATAAGGCTAATATATGGTCTAGTTTGTAATGTCTGAGGGGGGTTTTTTTTTCACGCTTCACTTATTAACGTGTAGAAAATTTCAAATTAACTTCTCATATCTTATTAACTTTTAACTATATTGTTAGTAGATATTAAATTGACCGACAATAAATTTATATAATACTTAGTTATTAGTAAAAATTTACAGAAGTATCTAATAGAATAAAAAAAAAATCTAATTTCTCCTCCAATTCTTTGAAGAGTTCGTAAACTCCACAAATAAAATTAATCTCTAAGTATCGTATGATGTTGTTTACCTGAATAATATAGTTCAACTGGTTAAGACACCTATCTCCGATCAAAGATCGTAAGTTCGAATCCCCATCTCAAATGTTGTACTTAAAAAAATTACCATATCATGTTAGCATTTTTCTTTCTTTTCTTTTTTTTTTTTTGAATAAAATGAGATAAAAGATAGATTAAATAAAGTCTTTGTGGACTAATTAAGTCCATTGGGGTAATTACCAACTAATGTTAACATTTGATATAAAAACTAATATGAGCATAGCTTAGTAGATATAATATCTATTACCATTCTAAAGATAATAGTTTGATTCCCAGCCCACAATAATTGAACTAAAAAAATCACTAACATAAAGGATATAACCGGAAAAGAAAAAATAAAAAACATGAGGTATTAAAGAAACTTTCTAAACAGTAAAACTAAATTAAAAAACCACGAAAGAAATACATATTTAGCCAAATAAAACCATATATTTTAGGAATATAAGAAATACTTTGACTCGGATTGACAATAAGATTGGTAAAAAAAACAATGAAACAACTATCCCATTATCAAGTTATGAATAGTATAAAAGACATAATATTAATTCTGTTAGGAGTGGTAGTGAATTCGGTTTGACAACAAAATTAACATAAATTGAAGAAACTAATTAAAAAATTAAAATTAAATCGCTCCTAATTAAGCTTATTCAATCAAATCAGACGTTACCTCTAACGAAATGAAAGAAAGAGCCAAAAAGGAAAATTAGAAAATTAAAGAAATAATCCAGCGTGGAAGAAGGCGAGGGGAAAAATACAGTGGAGTGCGGCGCAGCAGAAGTGGGAGAGGACGAAAGAAAATCAATGGCAATCAAGCACCCGAAAGCGCTGTATCAGTACGTGTGTGGAACGGATGGTACGTGTGATTATCCCGCGATATCCGTTCAGGTTCACGGGTTTTACCCGGCCCATCACCACTCATTCCTCCATCCTTTAGTCCACCTTGCTATCATTGCCAACAATCCCCATTCTTTCAAACAATCAATTTTAATTACCAACTCATTTTTTACTTTTACTTTCCTCTCCCTTAAATTACATCTCTTGCCCTTGTTTCCATCTTGATGTAACTGATATTGAAGTATATCACTTATAATTATTAACGTTAATATTAGATAAGTTGCTGACCAAGTTTGTGAAGTTCAATTTGGACGGATATTAATTTGATTAGTGAACTAAGATGGCAAGTAAGCAATTTAGTATGCAGCTGAGCTAAATCCGAGGGAGAATATAGTTTTGCATACTTGAAAGTGAGACGAGTGTATTTATTTATCAGTGAAGTTTCCGACAGGGCGTCCGACAAGGTTCCAACGACTATTTCGCGTCTTAGAAATCGATCATAACGTGTGTTGTTGTGGAATACGTCAGAGATCCATTCCTCACGGAGTATCCTCTTATCGACTCGACTAGCAATGTAGGCGGCAGATGTGAAGGATGTTAGTTCGGCTCTTGGGTTATATTTCGAGCGATCGAGCTACTAGTTAGGTTGGCTTAGTTGGATGTAATATTAAAAAAAAAATCACTTGTATTTAAGATGGAAACAATAAAGGATGTTAATTTGGGTATCTACTGTCTCGTTCCCATTGGCCTACTCACACAGTCTACTCGCCATTTTTTGCTCCCTCCTTCCTAATTACCATGCAAGCTGTACATGGAAATAACCCATAAAAACCGAGGGCAAAACCGGCAAACCAAGTCCGTACTTCCATTTCCAACCCATTAATGGGAACCGAAAAAAGAAAAAAGGGAATTAATTAAAAAGCCCCCCCTCCTCTGAGTGGGTGCAGTGAGGTGAGAGATACAAATTGTGTGTAGATAGCCAAAAAATATTCCCCACAAACCGGCAGTTGACGGCGTCCCCGCCGACTACGTTTTCCGTCGCCAAAATCCCTGTCGGACCAACAATATCATTCTCACCAACCCATTGACCAACATGACTGTTGCCGTTATTTTTTTTCTCTTTCCCTTTTTCAAAAGCCCCTCCCTTTATAACGGCGTTATTCCTCCATCGTTTGTTATAAATATATAGCCTTCCAAATCTCCCCACATCTTGTTTATTCAAACACTCCTCTCTCCTCCCTTTCTCTCTCCCTCTCTCTAAACGATCAATTTCTTTTTCTTTTTAAATTGCGTGAAGCAGAAGTTTGGTATTATCAGAAGGAGTGTTTTTTCTCGAAGATCAGTTGCTTAGGAAAATGGGGAAGAATGATCACAGAGACGAGAGAGTTCAAGCCGTTCTTCGACTTCTCAGCAAACAAGCCCCACTCACAACCAAACAGGTCCGTCAAAAATCCGTCTTCAAACTAAGTTTGAATCAGTTTGATAACCATTCCGTTTAATTTTTTTTTTTATTCTTTTTGGTTCGTGTAGGAGAAGTTTTGTAATACTGCTTGTGTGGAGAGGTTTCTGAAGGCTAAAGGAGAGAATGTGAAGAAGGCAGTGAAGAGCTTGAGGGCTTGCCTTTCTTGGAGGGATAGCATTGGCATTGGTACTTTTAGTTTTTTTTTTTCTTTTATTTTAAATTTGAGAATCTTGCTTTTTTTTTCTTTTTATTGGGATATATAAACGTTTTAAAGTAGGCTCACGATCTTACCTAGTAATGATTAAAGTCACTTACGTGATTCCATTCCTTTCAAAACGACATTAAAAAAAACCAAAAATTTTTTTGGCCAAAGAATCTCCGGTTTATTCGTCTCTTTTATTTTGAATATTCTCTCTCTCGCAGATCATCTGATCGCCGATGAGTTCTCCGCCGAGCTCGCCGATGGCGTCGCTTATGTTGCCGGCCACGACGAAGAATTACGACCCGTTCTGGTATTTAACGTCAACCTACATTAATTAGATATAGATACATAGTCAAATATTTATAGTTTATAATTTTTTATATTATACAAAATCTTCACTCATTTTGAATGTATGAACGAATTTTAAATACTATATTTTGAATTTGCTTACACCAAGTCATAGGAACATACGGATTTTAAACTGAATTATTATTAAGAGGAAACTAAAGTAAACTACATTTGAATGGCGTTGTCCTCTAGTACGTAGAAATTTAAATTTATAACCTTTTAGTCTATTTTTTCTTTGAATTAAAATGATCTTCTTATCAATCGCATTGTTTTTCGCTCTCTAGGAAAGAGAGTGATAGTTTTTGTGTACTTTTTTGTGGCAGATTTTCCGGATTAAGCAGGATTATCCCAAGTTCCATTCGCAGAAACTGTGAGTAAATCAAACCCCAGAACGACAAAACAAGAAAATCTCCACCACAGAGAACAAAAATGATTACATTTACAGAAATCTCATTATTATTTTCCCTTTTTTTTTTTTTTAAATCTCATTATAGGTTCATTCGTCTGCTTGTGTTCACGCTGGAAGTGGCCATCGGGACCATGCCGAAGAACACCAACCAAATGATCATCCTTTTCGACGCAAGTAAGTAAAAACTCTGAATCTTAAATTCCACACCATTTGCAAAAAGGAAAAAACTTAGGAAAAAAAAAGCAAAAACAAAAGTAATAAAATGAGAGAGATTGAAAATAAAGCCATATTGTGGGAGTGGCGGCAGAGTCTGAGGCGGTCTCAGAAACTGTCCGGTGTGGCACGGCGGTGTCGCTGTCAAGAGCCACCACTTTTAGGACCGGAGGGAACCCAGGGGCAATATCGGGAATTGAAGTGTCTCCATCCATTCTCTCGTAGAATTGGTCAATTCCAGCAGTACTTTACTCGGAGATTGAGCAGAAGTCCCCAGAATTCGACTTTTGCTCAGACTTTAAGAAAAGAAATTATTAATATTAATTAGTGGGGAGTATTTGGAATTAAAATCTTTTTTGGGGTGTAAAAAAGAAAATGATTGGGGCAATGGAGTAAATATGTGAAAGCGTGGGAAAAATGCAGGCTTTTTCAGGTCGGCTTCGGCTTTTATGAACTTATTTCTGGCGATGCTGAAGATCGTGGCCGATTTCTATCCTGGCCTCCTCCATTCCGCCTTCGTTATAGATCCACCGTCTCTCTTCTCATATCTTTGGAAGGTATTTTTATTTTTTAATTTTGTTTATTTCTTTGATTAATGTAGAATAATTAAGGAAATATTGACTGCACTGCATATGTTTACGTTTGAGCACTTTATTTAAAATATTTTGTCTTTTGCTTTTTGTAGAGTCGATCGTC